ACTGGTCAGTGAGGAAGCCTAACACATCTAGATTATCTAATTAAGATTTTCTTCTGTACAGTCCTTTTAAGAGCCTTCTGTGTGCACATACTAATCTCATTCACAGAGCGCAGCAGCATCAGTAGCTCTCCATGCCTTATACGAAGCATTAGATAAAACTTTTCCATTTCTTGTGAGTCAGCCATTGTACAGTACCTCCTGAGTAACCATGTCCTAACATGTAAGCAAAAGGAAAACTGACACTCATGACATTTATACAATATGCTTATATTACAGAATTATTAATTTGAAAATACTTTTAAAATAGTTAAATGTTACAAATACTCCAAAAATATCCATCCTGTTTTCCTTCCATCTCTCTCCTTGGTATATTTTTACCTTCTGCAGCAGTGTGTTCTGGATTCTTTGATCAAGATACTGCTGCATCACTTTGTTGTTTATCAGTTGGCATACAGTAAACTCTGGGTTCCTATCATTCTTGTTTAAATCAACACTTAGTCATATACTTATATATATACTTTAAATATATACAATTTACATATATAAACATGCATTTCCATGTGGTCTGCATATCTACACACAAACACATTGATCGCAAACACACCTGAACATCTCTGATGTGAGCTGTGACAGCTGCAGTAGGATGAACTCTTTAAAGATTAGAATGCCAGTAGTTTTAAAGGCATGCTACGCAAGGCAAAATCATACAATTCCCTTTGCATTGTGAGGCCTTTATAAAATACAAAGAAACAAACTAAAAACAGTGTGCTCATATGTGTCTTCACAAAGTTTGAAAGTTGCTTTCCGTCATTTTTGCTGCATGTGTGATTTTGCTGTTGCTTTAGAACTGGAGGCCATAGACTGATTAAGCAGGACATAAAAGAGGTGACTCTTTAATGATTAGTATTCTGTGTGGTTTCCCACTGGTGGCAGAGTTTGTAGTCAATTGGCTTCCATTAACCTGCCAGTTCGCTCTTCATTACTTCATTAAAGGTAGTATGGAGGCTTGAGGAAGTCCTGTCACAGAGCAGGCACTGACTTCTAACTTGCTGCAGAGGGCACATGGAATGTCCTTGAGAGGGTCCTCTTCCTGCAACTTGATTTTAACGGACAAAGAATTAAAATCATGCACACAAGCTCATGTTTAAGCAAACCCAGGGAATAAGAAATCAAAGAAAAACATTTGGCTGCAGCATGAGATAAGTCTAACTATAAAAGAGCAAACCAGGCTTATTTCTTGCTTTGTGTACACAAATTTATACTTAAATCAACACTAAAATGTTGAAATTCTTCAATCTTTTGTTTCATTTTTAATTGATTCGTCATTAATGAAAAACCTGAGTGAACATTTTTATTTGGACATGGATCCGTATGAAGAAAACAATAATATACTCACAGGCATCCATATTATATATATTAGAGAGCAGTTTTTGTAATAGTAACGTTTACAACCCTGCATAAATGCATGCTGCTTGTGTTCAACAACATATTTAAATGGATACAGTGATTCCTAAAACAATCCCTACTTCCTAAGGCAATACTTTAAGTTAAGAATTTGCTATTTTACATTTAAGTTAAATAAAAAATCTATTCATTTTATTTATATAGTGCTAAATCACAGCACTTGTCATTTTAAGGAACTTTGTAGAGTCAATTTAACAAAACCAAACACACAGATTGCTTAAAGGGATTCCTATATAAAGAAACAGAGCAGATAATATTGGGTCATTGACTCGGCAGCATTAACTGAGTCTTCTTTAGTTCATGGTTTACTCTTTAGCATCTGGCTGGTGCTTCATTTAATGCTTTTTTCAACTTTAATATTTTGAAATGGTTATGTACTCAAAAAAGTTCAAGTTGTTCCTTGACTACTATGGGACTCTGGTAAAAATAATTTTCAGATATTAAAAGGTGAATTCAAGGCTTTTCTCTGTAGTGGAGGATGTTCTTTTTCCGGGTGGATCATCTAAATAAGTGGTCCTCTTAATCGTCAATCATTCTGGTGATATGTTTACATAAGGCAGTCCTATGTGCTCATCCCCATTTTCACTTGCCAGTGGTGAATCTGATATAGTGGAAAAATTGCAAATCTTCTTTAGGAAAGTAAGCTTGTATGAGCGATGCAAACAGCAACTTTTAAACAGAGTACACAAGGAGAAATGGGCCCCAGGGTTGTGCATGTGCATTTTCTATTTAAAATCGAGAGGGCATGTCTTTTCAAAAATTTGTGCAAATCCTCCACTATAAGTTGAGAAATACGAATATCTCTGATATACGAATATCTCTGATATACGAAAAGAATATCAGAGATGCTCTTACTGGCCACTTCCTTACATGTACCTTTTTAGGTTCTTGTTAACACTAACAGCAGATCAGCCAGTCAAATGAAACATGAAAACGTTGGAACATCTGGAACTATGGTAACATCAGCAGGCGCAGTAGGGTAGAGTTAGCATTGCACAAATCTTAAGACTTCTCCCTTCCATTTAAAACTGCTACTGTGAATCTCCTCACAAATAATTTTATAGGTTGTTTAAAAACTTCCCCACTGCCTCCTAGAAATGTGTACACATCAAAGTATTAAGAACCATGTGGTCTGGGTAAAGCAATGTGAGAGCTAGAAACTGTCTACACCTCAGCTTGCTCCAAGAGATGTTTAAAATAATCTTTAGATGTAAAGTACTACGTCAAATTTAAAATTAATTAATGCATCTAGCATAGTACTACATTCTTCACATAGTTAACTTGCTTGTTATCTCAAATGGCTTGGAAAGCTTGGAAAGTCCTCATTTCTATTTATTGGTATTAGATTTGTTTTCTAGAGCGCTTAGAAAAGATAGAAAGTAATTCGTCGTGAGCTGTAGATTTACTTTCTCGGCTCAAAGTATATTTTATTAGAACTGTCTGGATTTAGATGCTAAGACAGTAGGACAGGGATGATGATATCCAAGCAAAAGAAGAATGGAAATCTTTAGTGTAGATTCTATTTGCCTCACTTTCAAAACGTAGTTCAGACATATCAAAAGCAATTATGTTTTGCAGCTTTGCTTATAGCATCTCTGCTGTACAATATTGTTTCTGTTTATGAATGAAGAAGAAACAGAGCCAGCATTCTAGTTGTCTTTTAATCTCCAATGGTCTCTCCACAGCTCCGCCTCTTCTTCAATCATTGCATCCAATACAACCCACTCAGGATTGTTATTAGGGGAACATATTGGAAAACTATTAGTCTTCATTATGGTTTATTGCTGCTCATTCTCCCTGTTTAGTATTTTAAACACATTCACTGGTTTTGTGCGTGTGTGAGCTCATGCATAACCACGCACTTATCTTCATGCTTTTGTGTACTTTGAAGTATGTGTGTGAAAAAAACATCCACCGGGGTCAGGCAGACAGTAATGAACCAATTTTACTGTAATGCATTCAGCTTTGGAGAGCACAAAGTCACCCCCACCCCTCACACACTCGGTCACTATAACTTTTTATGAGGGAGTCAATAGCACAGGCGCCATCTTTTATTGAATCCCATCCTTGCATTTACTGTGTTGTGCATGAGAGCCAAATGGAATCAAATGGAGTCAAATACAAATAAAAGAAGGTTGGACTGAACAGGGAATGGATTCTCCTTTTTAATGAGCTGGAAATGTTTACAGCAACTCTTTTGGGGCGATGTGTGGTTCTGTTAGCTCTGAATAACATGACCCCCGTGAACTGTTGAAAATCCTTCAGTTTGATAATACATAACTGTGTTTCCCTGGGTTTTACTTGGAGCACAGAGAGATCATTAGCGCTCTCTCTCAACCAATGTTCTGAAAACACACACACTTTGAAAAGTATGCCTACACACATAAACATTAGTTTTTCACCCCCAGTAAAGGGAACTTTTGCCATTAATGTTAAGGCTCAGAAAGTAGGACCAAGAATTCAGGCAAGCAGACAGTGAAATAACTTTTCATAAAAGCGTTTATTTAAAAAAGCGGATATGCAGTGTCAGCGGCTAGGAAGTCTAAGACAGGCATATCTATAGGAGAGAAACACAGGTTAGTGACCACGATAATCTGATGGAGGATGCTTATGAATACGTTAGTCACTATCCTGGTTTGAGACTTTAGTCTGTGCCCAGAGAATGAGGATAATTCCATCTGGTTAGCTGGCAAGATGCAGCGGACACTGCCAGAGAGTTCCAGATAAGGAAGCCTAGAAGATCTGCAGAGGTGACAGGAGATCAGATCAAAGCAGATGAAGGAAGGCAGAATAATCCACAGTGTAAAGTCAAAAGGGAGATACAAGTTCAGTCCTTAGAACAATCCAACATGAGTAAATAAAAAAGGTACACAGTTAAGACAGGGGCCGGCAGGCTCAATAGTCCCAATACAGAAACAGGTCAGGATCAGGCAAACAGAACACTATTAGTAACGCTCAAAAACTCCCTACACCAAAGGCTCAAGGATAATCTGGCACTGATGGCTGGGATCAAGGAGTTTAAATAGAAGCAGGAGCAGGTGGATCAGATGAGCAGTCATGAGGAACAGAGCTACACAGTTGAATGAAATGAGCAATCAAGTCAACCATCAGCAACAAAATCATGGCAATCAAAGGCAATTTTTTCCATTGTGCATCAAAACGTTTTAGAGTAACACTCTGCTGTAACTTTAATGCATCAAATGCTATTTACGGAATATCTTTTTGTATACTATAAACCATATATTTCTCAAGTGTTATCCTTTATGAATTAGGCTACACACATCAATCCACTTTTATTAGTCTTTTCTTTGAAAAAAAAGAGAAATGACACAATTTCATTGTTGACCTCTGCAATGATGGAAATTATGATATTTGTAATTGATGATTGCGATTGGAATAAAAATAATGTAATTACTGCTGGTGATGAAAATGGAGAGGATAATAACGTAGGGATGACAAAGTCTATAACGTTTGTCAAGATAATGATCCTTGCTGGCCATCTGAACAAGTTCAATATTTTCTTCCTGTTTGTCCAGATGGAGAGAGACAGACGGATGGGACGGATGCCAGCCGAAAGAGGGACGCTCGCTCCTCTGCCGGACACCACAAGAGCGAGGACACCAGTGACAGTAGGGAGGATGAGGCAGCAGTGAGTGTTTATTATAAATCCTTGTTTTGTTTTCTTAAAGAGATTCTTATCAGAGATGTGTTCCTGCCTTAATACATATTCCCCACACCACCCACATCTCTCTGACTAACAGGGTTTTATGTATCTGTGTGTAGAGCAGCACATCATGGCAGCAATAATTGTATTTGTGCTCTGTAATAATGATTCAGTTGCTGAAGATCTGTTCCAGATCATTCAAGAACGTACTAATAAAGATATCATATATCATCAAATTTTTTTCTTCTTATTATTTTTTTTATTCATTTTGAGCAAACGTTTCGTTTTGGACATCTTTACATTTTCTAATGCAATTCTTACAGTTTAGGCTTTTGCCTCCACCCACTGCTGCAAATTCTGATAAGATTTCAAGCCCAGAAAGGCTATTGCTTCAGTAACTTTTTTAATATGCTGTACAGGTGATCTTCTTGTATTTCCCTTAATTTCTATTTCCTATTTAGTTTAAGTGCTGTGAAATTAGTTTTTAGTCTGATATGAAACTGCTACTGTGAACATAGTCAGCTATTCTAAACCCATTGCATATTATTAGCCCTACACGCATCTCTCTCTTGAATAGCTGGAAATTAGTGACTTAAAGGTTTTTTATTGAAGAATCAGATTTTTATATTCATTCAATGCATTACAAATAATTTCTTCCATTTTTCTGTCTATATAAGGAACAACTAATACAATGCACTGTTAATCCCCTTTTCATTAATTCGCATTTAATTAAGTCAAAGTACTTAAATCGAGATAATCTTATATTCACTTCATTACCAATTAGATCCAAGATTGACCCCAGAAGGACATTTTTATTTCATATTTTACAGCCGTTAGGAAGAAATATAAGAACTAAAGATCTAAAATCAGGTCAGATGTCAGAGAAAATGGAAATAAGAATTGCACTGGGAATGCTTAGCTGGTGCATCATCAAACTGTTAATTAATGGATTTGAAAGATCCAGATAAGCTGAACTGAACAGCTAAATGCTAACTTGAGAAAATTTGATACCTCTATATATGATGCTATTTGTTATGTTATATTTCTAAAATAACATGACAAAATTGACGTTACATCTGATTCATGAATCATTCTTTTTGGTGATATGATCCATACGCTTTTCATTTATTGCAGACTAACTGCTGTTAGGGTGCTGTTAAGGAGTAGAAAAATTTTTTTTTTCTTCTAGACCTATTATTTTCTCAACTACCCATCATTTTCTTTACACAAAGGGCTCTGAAAGCATGGAAGTTTTAGGAGGTTAGTCTTATTCTACCTCAGACTATCAACAAGAGGTCTCACATTTGGGTCTGTCACAGGACTTGCATGTTTTAGAAAGTAATTGTCTGAGGAATCTTCAGAAGCTTCATTAATTATACACATTCTGACTATAATAAGGACAATATATTTGTCTATAAAGCCTATTCCAATGTGTATGAATTTTTATTATTAATGCATTTCTTGATATAGTCCCTATCTAATGTGTATAACTGGGATCAAATAGGGCATTTGGGTAAAGAACTACAAAATAATCTAAAGCTAGACTAAGTAAATTATAACAGTCTGTTGTTATGGCGTTTGTTTAAAACAACTTTTTATATTTTTTATGGGTTTCATACTTTTCTGCAATATAGTGTTGCTGCTTTGACAACCAGAGGTTTCAGTAGTTGCTCATGGAGCTTTTCTAGCTTTTAGAGTATGGATAAAAAAGAAATACTAATTTCTTCAATACCCTCAGTATAGCAGTGGTGGGATCAAGTTACTGTTTTGCAAGTCAGAAGTTTTCTCACTAAGAACAGAAGTCACATTTCAAACAACAGCATTAAAGACCCAGTTAATGTTCCTAGTCAAGTCAAAAAAAGTAATCTTATGATTTAAATCATCTTTAAAAGATGTAATTTGACAACATTTGTAACTGAATCAAAAATCATAATGCATTTGTGACTTAGGAATCATTTTTAAAAGGGTTCTAATTTGTTTACCAAAACTACAGGCAAACGGAAAATTAACTAAATTGTTTGAAAATAAGTGCAGTTAATGATCAGTAAAATTACATTACTCAGATAAATCAAATTTAAGCAACTTCATAAAAATATATTTTTTTTTCACTCAAAAACACATAATTTCCATGCTCCTGGTGTGGAGGCACTTACTTTGATGTCCTTATTCAAAGAGCAGAGACTTGCAGTGCACCAATAATATAGGAATAAAGTATTCAAATTGAATTAAAGACATTCTGAGAATTTCTTATTTAAACTTTTTTTTATTCTGTAGTTTAAATCCCTTTGCAAAGTAAACAAATTCAAGTTCTTACCATCTGATTTAAAATGTAATCTTTTATCTTTGTGGGATTAAAATCTGCTGGAAGAACCTGTAACTTCCAGGCTCTGTACACACATTTTTATATTAACTATAATTTCCTTCCCTTGTGTTTTCCAACATCATGTGTATTTATTTTAAAAAAGTATCATAATCTCTGTTAATATGCATGATAATACTAAACTTTTAAAAGGTTTTAAATCTGGATTATTTGGATAAGAAGTATTTATTTTAGACACACTTTTATCTAAACAGTCTATTTGCATTTGGAAAAATCTGATTAACATAATTAGTGTGTAACTCAATAGTGTCATGAAGCCTTATTTATAACATGGCAGCAGTAAAAGATTTGTAATTGAGACAAAATGATTAAACCAAAAATAGTTAAAGCACAAGACGTTTTTTTGTGGGTCGCCCATCTGCTTGACATAAAGGTGAGCTAAACAGTCAGCGTGGTTTTTACAACAGTGTAATCTGTTGATATTAGCAAAATGCAGAGGCATGTATAACAGGCAGGACAGTGAGCCGAGAATAGTTCGTTCGTTGGCGAATTTTATTACCATTTTATTACTAACATTCTGTTGTAAAATTTCAAGTCAAACTGTTCCAGTCACGAGGTCATTTGTGATTTTGTAAAAGTTTAGAGTCTAGAGTCATTCATTTTTTCTGTTCCAAATATCTTGTTTTGTAGACCTTTGTTTTTTTATTAATTAGCAGAAAGTAACTCACACTATAAAGGGAATTAAGAGTGTCTTATGTGTAAAGTGCCTTGAGATGACATGTGTCATCTCAGATTAAATCAATGATGTCCATCATGCTGTGATGATGAGGACATTTTCTCCATCAGAGACCTGATTTTCAGTTCAATACCAGAGCCTTTTTTTTTTTTATCAATATATTGTTTGACACACAAAACTTCCCAACTAGATCAACGGTGTCCAACACAGACACTGGCACCCCCGAGGAACATATACTAAAGTGAAACATTTTTTGTGGATAGCGGTCTTCTAAACTTGCGCCTATGTCATATTTTATTTGCTATAATTCCAGTAGTTTTGATTGTTTTAGTTATAACCCTGACTGCAGATATGGACGCATTTAGGTAGCTCTTTTTTGTTTTTGTTTTTTTTTTTTTGTTGCTTGCAGCCATTTCTTGATTTATGGAAATCATCACAGATTTACCTAATGATATGTTCTCCTCCCTCTCCCATTTTTAACAGACTCAACAAATAAGTAAACATTAAGATTACAGATTACAATACAAAGAACAGAGTCAGTTACTTTACTTTCAAGAAATATGTTAAGGTTCCATAACTGGCAAGTGTGATTTTTGTTTTGTTTGTTTTGTTTAAAACAATTATTCCCTGACATCCATATTTTCCAATGAAAAATTTATATAAATCAAACCTTTAATATCTTAAATATATATTTTGGTAAAAGTCAACGATAACCTTTGGAATACATTGCTTAAAAAAAGCGACCTTTTTAATTACCGTATTAGGGTCCTCAACAAGTGGACTTGAATCTATATATTTATTTTAAAAACATTTTTTAAACATCTTATATCCTTTAGAGCTGTTTTTCCCCAGTTTGCAGTATACTGTAGCAAAAAAGGAAAATAAAACATTTTACACTCCCTTGGGATGCATTATTCATCATCTCAGCCTTGGGCAGGCAATTTATTATAGATTTTTTCTTCCTCAACCTCAATTGATCAGATCTCTTGCCACTCGTGCTGACAGGCAGTTTACGTCAAAGTTTTATCTTGCCCGGGGTATCAGCCAAACTGCTTGAAGTGTGCAAGAATTAGGACAGGAAAGCAGACAGTTTGAAATTATTGAACATTCACTACATTTTTAGCCAGTATAAACTATAACCAATATTAGGAGCCTCAGAGCAGAAGCAGAGCCCACTTGGTCAGATCTGTATTTAGAAGGAAGGAATCTGTTACGTTTATCTTGATAAATCTTTGAGAATTATTTTTCACCCTGATATAGATTTTCATGACTAAGATGATAAAGCCAAAGCCTACACATTGTTTTTGAATCAGTATTTTTTTATGCAGTATAATAAATAGAGTAAAAAAACATTTACTATTGATATTGCCACTGCAATATTAATCAGTTACAAGAGACTCTTTTAACTGCACCTTCTTACACTTGATTGTTTTTGTAATTAACTGAACTGATCAATGCTACAATTATTCCAGGCTGTTTAAATCTGGCTCTTGTCGTGGAGACTATGGTTCTGCTTAGGCATGCTCACAGCCTTTTTCACATATTTGATTGACAGACCAAATTTTCCAATTAGCAAATCAAATACAACACCCAAACCTTGAGCAAATACAGATAAATAAGGCATACTAATATAACCTTAGCAACCAATCTTCTCCTTGAAAACTCAAAACAAAACCTGTTCAGTATAGCTTCTATGTTAAGACTGCATTGGAAAAGTTACATTTCAGATTGTATTTGGCTTGTCTGTATTTATCTTTGCTTCAGCAAGCATATTTCATATATATCACAAAAGACTGTATATTGAGGAAGAAAATAGTTTGATTCCACATGATTATTTTACTTTGTGTCAACGCTGTCATTCACAGATCTAACATTGTTAGCAAAATGTGAAGTATAACATCAATCATACCTCACAGAAAGACAGGCTAG